AGGTGTGTTTAAATCCTAAACATTAAGCCTTCTTTTATAGGGGGAAAATCCCCCCAACTATTGTTAACCCACCGATGTGGGAAGCTGAAATATTTGACATTTCAACATGTAGATCGGATATGTCTCTCTTATGTGTCTTTACTGTTGACAGGATGCAGCAAATATGATGCCCTCAATTGGAAATTTTATAACAATTGGGTCTTAGGAGGTTTCATTTTGGGTGCATAATCTGACGATGGCAACTATAACGTATTAGACCTCAACTAAGTATGCGAAGCTTCTAGCTCCATCGTAAATGATATAAACAGTAAACTATTTTCTGGAAATTTTGCCATGTCAAATGTATACGGGAGCTGGAAAATTCTCAGTTTTAGTGGCTGTGAATGTTTTGTTATAATTCCCTGTAATGTAGCCCAAATTAGTGCCTGTATTAGAACCAGTACTTTTCTGCAGAATTCAAATTCACTTCACAAACCATTTTCCTGTCCAAATGCGATTTCTGATCTCTATTTTCTCTAAATACATTAATTTTGATATGTATGCACTCAAAATCAAAAACATACTCATCCAAACATAGCATGGTATTCTTGACATTTGCAATTAAAAAAATAAGAAACAGATAAACATACCTCCGAAAAGCGTGAGGTTCCATTTATCCCTTGATTGAGTACCACTATTTTGCCATCCAATGCAAAATAAATCTTCCTAAAAGAGCATACAGAAATCAGATCTACTGGCAAATGTGATATTCTGCATAGAATCAAGTGACGTATAACTATTCCCTTTAATATTCACCATTTACTTAAACAAACATGATGATGAAGATAGAATATTTTCTCAGAGAAAGTAAATAGACAGCTTACGCTATGACAAATTCATATAAATATAAGTTCTGAGGTATTATTTGCTCTTATTTACAACCCTAAGAAGGGAAAAGAACGTCTGATAACAAACAAAACCACTCAGATATCTGACATATCATGTAGCAGAAATAGTTCTAATGACAAAAGGGAAGTTTCCATCTAATTCACAGCAGAAGTAAGCAGAACTCATCCACTATTCGAAAATTACACAATTATGAAACAATTCACATTTCACCCTCCAAGTTCAAACAATTTGTAAGAGTGGTCAATGGTTCTACACTACCAACCATATGTGATAATTTGACAAATTCATATTACATAAGACCAAAAAGCTCAAAACCACAAGGCTAAGCAAAAAAAAACACTGAACTTTTTCATTGAGTTAAAACTAACTCGTGCAAAAACATACTTACATATGGGAATAGATACTCGTGGGGTCTAACTCTTAAAGAAAGAGAATTTTCAAAATGAAAAGTGACTTGAGGGAATCCATCATCAACACTGCAATAGTTAGAGGCAAAAGTTATTGCATTTGGACATCTTTTTACCTGGAGAACTGAAAATAGTTGTAAATAGAAGAATCATAAGAGAAACATCTCAAGAAAAATATGTTCCATAAAAGAGGCAAGGAATTGTGACGCTTACAAAGTTCATTCCTCCACGTGGCCTTCCACCGGAAACAAGTCCCCCGTATAAGATAATCTTTCTCATTCTGTGTTTTTCTTTTGACAAGTTTACTAGCAAATTTTTTAAGGCAACTAGTTAAATACCCGCGCCATAAGTTAAGCGTCTTCATATTCAAGTGGACCAATATATCAGAAAGTAAATTTCCATAGCTGTTTTACTTCATATAGTTGCCAAACTAACTAATTCTGACTAGTAATGGTATTATGTAATAAAAACAATGTTCAAAAAGTTTGGTTTTATAAGAATACTTTCCAAGCAAAAGACTATGTTGGGCTAGGTTCAAAGCCAAGGCATGGATGCAAAATCAGTGAAATATGTGTTGCTAAAACCATGATCTTTACAACTGGCACAAGACAGAATAAATAGAGAGCAAAACTGCTTTACATGCTAAAAGATCTTTATCCCGCATAGTGATCATCATACCAAACACCACCATTGAAATAGCTTTATTGCAAGCCAAATTGACAGTTATTCTAGTAACTTGATTGCTAGTCTTTTATAGGATCCAAGTCATTATAATAAAGGACTTCTGATTCTTTTGACATATATTACATTGCTAATCTTGAACTATCATGCACATTATGCTAGGCGTCACATGGATCAGCGCAAATTGCTCGACCTTATTTTATTTCCACTAGTTTGATACAAGAATTTGAATCAATGCATTTATCAATTTTCAGTTCATCTTGAGATAGAATTAGCCATCGTATTCCACCTCTTGCGAACAATATCTTGAGAAGTAGAGTATAACTGATAGCATGACGGCCCTTTAGAATCCAATTGCCACTGCTCCAGAATAAACACGCTTGAAGCACAGAGCAGCAGCTAAGTTATCCTTCATAAGGATGTTGATTGAGAAATTGAAAGAGTAACATGATGAAATAAAGAAGAAACCACAAGTTAGAAAGACAAAGTAACATCATGCACTTACAGACTGCGTAAAGAGATGAGTGCTCAGTATGCTCCATACCTTCCAGAGTATTCAAAGCATGTATACTCATCATGAATTGTACGCAATTTCAGATCAGGTTGCCAGGAGAATATCTGGCAGAAGTGAAGAAATACAAACATTTCAATTATTTTAGGTACAAACATTTATATCTATTTCAGATTCAATTAAGTGGCCACCAAAAAGACTAAACGAACTATAGTAGCAAACTACCTTTTTCACTAGTGGACCATAAATCACCTCAGGAAGATAAGCCAATGTTGTTCCACTATCAATTATTACTCCATTGTTCTCTCCATTCATAAGTACATCAACAGACAGGTTTAGAAACTGATAACCAACTTCAACTGCCATCATATTGACATTGTAATGTGGCCTAAGAACAAAAACAATTTAAAGCATTTAAATCATTACAATTTTCTCAACCACAAGCTAATCAAAAGCTTCATATTCTAGTGGAAAATTTACATACTGATTAGGTACCAAAGGAGTCATGTTTACTTTTGGTTGCACAACATTCCCAATGGCAAAAATACCACCACCGTTCACACTATCTAAGCAGTGTGCAAACTTTTTCGTCACTCTTCCAGATGAAGCCAGCTGGGAAAGCATGGATGAATTTGATTTCCCAAATCCAAGAACCCCATCAAGAGCTTCATCAGAGGAACTCAGATCCCCAGATTGTGAAGCACCACACCTCCGAGAATACAAGGGAAAACATCAATAAACTTATCCAAGGAAGAAAAGAGAAAGAATAACAACAAAGGCAATAAAAGATAATGGTGTCACCAGAGCTTGGCTCAACTAACGCATAATTATTGGAACCAAATGAGAAACAAACAAATGTTGTTGGCTCAGTGACTGTCGCAAATCATTGACCATGAACAAGAGCCCAAATGGAAGCTTTTATTTGTTTGGTGCCTTTAGATTTAAAATAAAGGATTTTTGGCGAAAGGTATTCAAAGATTGAAGAAAAGTAGAAAATTTTATTGCAAGGAGAAAAAACCCAAAATATCTAAGAGTCTGGGACTTGAAACCTGGCAATGGAGGAAAGGCAGCTAACAGAAGCTGTGACCATTCTAGATATCCTTTATCCTTATGTTAGTTCAAAGAAGAAATGGACTAGTTGATTTACTTTCCCAGTGAAATATTAATCCCTTGCCAGACGCATATATAGAATGATGAAAACAATCCTCTTCACCTTGTTTATCAGTAAAATTAGAAGATAGGCAAATACAATTTTACCTAATCCATTAATTCTTCCCTTCCAATTATAGAGGGATTGCAGGTAATGAAGTCGGATGATATTATAAAGAAAATGTGAAGAGTCAGGATCCAACTTTATGTTGCCTTCGTACCTTTCTAGCACCAAACAACGGAAATTGACTTTTACTCCTCTTACTTCTGCTCCTCCTACATAACTACCTACCATCTCAGACCCCAACTAATTAATAGTTTTAGATTTCTGAAATAATGAAAATGCTCTTGGAAACTTCTGCTTCATCAGATAGACAAAAGGAGGAAGCAAAACCAATTCCAGATGAAATGGTTTTCATTGGATTTTGATAAATTAATATACAGCAAGTTCATAAATTTGCAAGTTCTGTAATAATGGAATAAGTGCACTCTCAAGGATTTTATCGAGCATGAGAATCATGTAAGATCACCTAGTTCAATTAAATGTTTAACAAGTCAAACGATGGATTGAGGATTATAAGAGCTACAGAAATATTCTTGCGCTCGCATGTTAGATAACATACATCTTACCCAAAAATAACACTCCCATTTGATGATTTAGTTTGGAGATCACCTGACACCTGATCATATTGGACAACATCCTCCACAAAGTAGCCCCTACTATAGCTTCCATCTCCATAAACTTGACTATAAGTACAAGAAGTATTACCAGAGCAGCCTGATCCTGAACCTCTGTCGATGTCTTTGCAAAATGAGTGACCACAAACAATGAGTTTACCAGTGAGAGAATCCCTTGGATTGTAGAGTGTTAGCTCCAGCTGCCCAAAAGAAATTCAGATAAAAAAGGACAGAATAGAGCATCAACGAAGAATTGTTTTACTTTCAAGAGCAAATCATATAGTGAGAATAAATATATAGACAAAAAAAAAAAGCATAAACATACATATACACATATGTCATTGTGTATTTAAAAGAAACGTACACCATGATAGCCTCTTCTGGGGCATTCTTGACACGTAATGCAGTTAACCCACATAATGTCACTTCCTGTATCCACTTGGACATAATAACTATTTGAAGGTGTTCCAACCCCAATCTTAGCATAATAAAGCCTATAATAACAAAAGATCGAGGAAATGATTTCAATAGTAGCACAAATTGACTCCATACGGTAACAAACTGTTATTTTAACATATATAAAATTGATTGTTTGTAAGCCACATAAAGTTGCATGAAAAAGATTTCATCAGTTTATCCAAATAATGAAACAAACTGACTGACAATGTTATGAGCTTAAAATTATCATTCAAACATGGAATTTAGAATATTCTCAAATTAGCCGAGATCTAAGCATCTTCTGAAAATTATTAAGTCAGCACATGATAGGCTTTGCCAAAAGCTGACATTGAGAACATAGCCAATTGATAATTCATGCAAATTCTTTTACTACAACAAAACATTGATAAACACTATTCTATCATGGATGATGCACAAATAGAATAAGCAGACACACACACATCCCCACACATACATACATACATACATACACACACACATACATACATACACACACACACATACACACACACACACACATACATACATACATACATACATACATACATACATACATACATACATGCATGCATATATATAAACACACACACACATAGACACACACATAGACACACACACACACACACACACACACACACACACACACACACACACACACACACACACACACATACACACACACATACACACACACATACACACACACATACACACATACATACATACATACATACATACATACATACATACATACATACATGCATGCATGCATGCATATATATAAACACACACACACATAGACGCATATAAGAAAACGGATGATATGTAAACATAGGTGGATTCAGGATTTGAAATTTTATCGATTCAAGTTCAAAATTCTACCACAGCTCATTTGATTTACTCAGTTCGAAATCTATCATTTGAACTAATTTAGTGGGTTTTTTTAACTTGTATACTACATCTGCCCCTGTCTGTAAATAGCTGCTTATAGTGACAAGCTGAGATACAGACACTAAATCATTCAACTGCTCTACCATATGTTTTAGAAGCTCTTTTCCAACAATACAGAAAGCATCGTGTTAAACAATGCAAAATACAAGTACAACAACTACAGCACAATGTACAACAGCATGTACACAAAATACATATTGCTTTATTTAAATTTATATGTGATATTAAGTTATATACACCATCATTAAAGCCTCATTAAAGTTTGGATTTATAATTTTGAAAATAAGGAAGTTAACTGCTACAACAGGTAAAGGTGATATGATAGTAAGAATTCCTTACACGGACTGTATGTATAACTTAAACTCTGCATACATATGCATATATAGTCAGAATTACACGCATATACCCAATTTAATAATAAAGCGGAGTAAAAAGGAAAAGCAGACCCGACGGAATCAGGACGGCCAATGCCGCCGATAGGGAGGTCGATGCCGGCGAGGATTCTGAGGTGGCGCATTTCATCATGAGCTTTTAGGGCACGTAAATTCCTTTCCGACCCGGAAAATTTATAATTCACTTTGATCACTCCTTCAATTCCGCCATTTACACTCCAAACAAGTATAAGCACGAACAACGTAACGTATCTCCAATCGAATTTTCCCATTCTGGTTACTTCTCAAATACTGGAATTTTACTACTATCTGAGACTGGCTATTTTTTAAATTAAGGGTGAAAACGATGATTAGAAAATTAAACAGAAATGGAAGAGAGAAAGGGAAGAGACGCGGTGCATGTAATGTTGTGTTCTTATAGTAG